TTTCAAAATACAAGGTCTTTAACAAAAAATAACATATACTTATTGTCGTCGGATTAACACCAAATTTTCACGGCTTTAAGGTGACAATGAGAGGAACTTGAATGTGTCCAGACAAACTATTTCATGGATTATTTACCAATGTGTTGTGGTTTGAGTTGGGGGCAATGCGACTAAAACAGAAATTAAAATTCAGGACACTACTTTTTAAAACGCCTTAACGCTTTGCTTGAATAAAACTGACCAGACACATTCAATTTACCAGACTATTGAACAACTAGGAAAAGTGAAAAAAAAACTTCTTATCACCAGCATAAATGCGTAATAATTTTTTTTACAAAAAAAGTAATTTTTCCCTTTTGATTAAGTAACGCACCGCAGAATGCAGATACGGGCATGGCAAACACACCTTTGAAAAGCTTGGAGTCTGGCGATTCTAAAAATATATACTTTCCTGGGTCTATTTGTAGTCATTTGGTCACAATTAGAAGTTGAAAACAAGTATGCAAATAATAGTCCCGCTACCTTAAGTAAGGGTAACAGTTGAAGTTAAGTTTGCAAATAGTCATGTCAAACAAACAATTGGCATTCAAAATAGAAGAAAATAAAAACTTATGAAATTGACAATTATTGAACATAAATATGAAGCTTACAGTTTGACAGCCATGCAAATTAAGTTTGCAATTTTGTCTTATTCACCAGAAATACACGCAGGAAAAATAACTAAGCATTGTATCGTGGTTGATTGACCTAGCTATATAGCTGCTTTACATTGTAAATAAGAGCATGATGGCTGTGAATATGTAAATGTGCAGATATAGGTCACACTTGAGTCAATCATACACAAATGATACAATAGGAAGGCATCTTATTTTTCAGAAGTGGACCAGAAATACAGAAGAGAAGAAATACATGTTCTATCTTGAAACTTTGCCATTAATACTCCTACCGGTATTTCATACACAGTAATAGAACATTTGTATTTTTGGTGGTTGGCAAGCGAGTGATTGTTTTATTTTCAAAGGAAAGTGGATCGATCGGTTCCCAGTCATAAAATTAGTGATTAAAGTAGGGAGACCCATTATGCGTGGAACACATGGGAAAGAAAAAACATGATGCCATAAGGGTACAAGTTGTAATAAGGACGTTAATAGGTCATTACAAAGATTACTTTTAGTGATTAAAAAGTGGTAAACTTCTTCAAATTCATGTGCACTTCCTAAATATTTCAGTTCAATAGTAGTCATGAAATTAAGTATAGAAGTTGTAAATCCCACACAGGACTTTAACTCAATTTACTGTATATAAAGGGAATAGTCTACTTCTTCAAAGTGGGACAGAAAAATCTCACTGGAGCAGCGCCTACACATGTACCTGTCATAAATACTTAATTTTGCCAGCTAAAAATGAACAAATTGATTAAGGTTCAAGGTGGACCTTAATATAAAATATCAAAGAAATTGAAATAGCTATTTTTATGAAGTCACAATAACTTTTTTTACCAAAAATAACAAAAATATCGATATGCACTAAAAATAGAGTAGTGAAGGTACAGTCACAAAATAAAAAAACCTTAGAGAAAACCACCCAAGGTACATGAAACCCATACAGCATTTTTAATAAAAAGTTGAAAATGTCAAGTTCACACTGATGGTCAATCGGTAAATGAATAGTTCCGCTTGACTTTGTCGAAAGTGGAGACAATGAAATTCATGAATGTACTGCAGCAGTTATTTCTAAGATGATGGGTAAGTGGTGTGATATGCGATGAAGATTTTGCATGAATTCTGTGGAAGAAATGGTTAGTGTACACACAGTGATAATGTCACTCACTTCAACTTCTGTTCATGCAATCAAACATTTCCATTGATTATAATATTTTGGATCTGCCCAGCAACGTTAATGGTTCTGTGACATGTTGTTGTTGACATGTTGTCAATGAATCGAATGACACAAGTTTACAAAAAAAAAAAAAAAAGACATTACATCAGGAATACAGACATTGCACTGGCAACTATTTGGCTCTGCTACGTAAATTTTGTAGCAATTTTGTAGAAAGCAACATTTTATTATGTGATTCTCAATGCATTTTATCTTTCAGATCTATTACAAAATAGTGTAAAGATTTTAGAAAGCTCTATGTTGCAGTAAAATAAACTATAATTTACCGTGATATGATTATGACTTGGGGACTTTGTATTTTGTTAGAAAACAAGAAAATCGTGATGGGTGTCTTTCGCAGTTAGTAATATTTAAGAAAAATATTTGTTCACTATTTTATAAGCTAGCTTGGTAATTCCCACCACCAATTAGACAATGTCACAGCATTTTGGCTATTTTTTCAATAAATCCAAAATCACTCTAGATAATTTTGTTTACATTTGTGCTATTTGAAGTTTTGATAATTTTAATGGGTATATACATATTTTAATGCATACATGTATACTCCCATAATAGGAGAATTTTGTATATAGCTTTGACAAAAAGGCATTATTTTTCTTTGTTCTACCCGGTAATAATGCACCTTTTTTCGATCTTTTTGGATTGTTCGGAACCATGAGATTGTAATGAAAATTTTGTTCATTAATGTACAATGACGCTATCACTGGGGCCTTCAGAGTCCCATGTTGACTATAGCCCAGTCCGTTTACTTACTTACTGACAGTGTCTGACTGGTATATATAAAGTGCGACCAAGTAAACGTCAGAATAGTAGAAAAAAAAAAGGAAACCCAAAAATCAGTGGCCCGTGCCAAGAGCGCCACAGAACCCAAAAAAATCTGTCAGCCGTTGCCGTCCATCGTGACAGCAGCGATATGATTTTACAAATCAAAATTGACAATCACGAGTGTAGACATACTGCATAGAAATGAACACTAAATACAGATATCCCGGCCAGCAATCGAATCATCAATCTTCATTAGTGATGTAACTGGTATTTCCATCTACTTGCTTCTATTCCCACTATCCTAAAACGCTCAAGTGAATGCTACAATCAAAGACAAGCTGAACAGGAAGTCCATTCTGGGCTAGTACCATTGTCAATTTTTGGAGAGTAGAGAACCATTTATACAGGGGACACTCCAGTAATGCCCAATTGGCATATCAAAATTCTGTATTGAAACAGAACATATTCTATATTCACGTTGTTATGTTTCTAGACTTACAACGAACTCGTAACAACAACAAAAACAGTCCGATCCAAACAACCTATGTACTTGAAAATCGAGTCTTATCACCCTTGCGTTTCTGAGCGAAAATACGTCGATGCCAAAAACAGTGGATTTTCGCCAAATCTTCTATTAAAAATATCAGTGTGAAGAGCAATATCTTCAGACAACTGCAACAGTTTATCTCAAATCGAAAGCATTTGTGCAGCATTGGATTGGCTAGGCTCATAACACGGTCAACGTGACCCTCCCACTCTAAAAAAATATATGGTTGACCCTTCAACTTTGTCACTCAAAGTAACCTTGGTTTACCTGGGACAAACTACGATCAACACCCTACTCAAAAACAAATACTAGTATGCTAGTTCTCAGCAAATACTGGTCGATAGATCAATGGGAAGCTTTAAACATGGAGATAAAACAATAACAGTTTAACACGGTTCTGTGCAACAGCTGTGACGCTCAAAACAAGACGTACCTTTCTGCAGCTCACGGTACCAGACCTTTACAATGGTTCCTGCATGTTTTCGGTGGTGAATTAACCACAGCGACATTGTCTGGATACTCTGCTGTGAGTTGCTGATCCCGTTTAACTTTTCTTCCAGTGCATGGTCTGAAAAAGACGACATTTTTGAGACCGACCTCCTTGATCTCCACCGAAAAGCAGAAATTGAGTTTGTTGGGATTTAAAATTGCGCCCTCTATGTGTAGTTGGTGGGTTCGAGATGCACAGATTCGCGTAAATAATCGATGTTTTGAAATTGATTTTAGATTCGATAAACAGATCTATATTTGAAAACATTAGGCTTCCCCTGTTTCTATTAACTTATTTGAATTGTTAATCGTCCACAGTTTTCATTCGGTTTAATATAGAGCGATTGAGGGCGCTATTTTAGACGAGAGCTTGCGAGATTTCAATATTTGGCTTCTCTTCACACATGTGATTATTGGTACCCTGTTGTTGTTCTGACCGTGATATCGGAAACGAGCAATGCCATACGCAAATCAGCCATCAGTTCGTCTTTCAGAGCTTTCTGACGACAACGTCAAGTTTTCAGTCGAAGATACAGACCTCAGGTAACTTAATGAACGACAGAGCAAATGCAATGGACTTGATATTTCGATAATATTATAACAATAATAACTTCATTACACAACTAAATCATCAGAGGATTTAGTAAGGTAAAGAGAATAACAAGACATAACAACTCTAGCACCACCATTAGCTGTCTTCTTAAAAAACAGCTATGAAACAAAACAGCAACAACTATCAGTGTATTAGGTTACAATTAGTGATCATTCTATATTCTGTATTCACCAGTGGTTGCAAATTGTCTTAACAATACAATACAATAACACTTTATTATCACCACAGGGAGCCCAGGAACTATGGTCAACTGTGTGCATTCCCTATGGGGGGGGGGGTTATCGGCTGGCGTCTAGTGTAAGAAAGGGATGAAGGCTCCAGCCAGCTCTGTTGGACATCGTTGATCCATCTTGTAAAATACAAGGCTAGATAATGAATCGAAGTGATCTATGCGAGTACTTTATTAACAGATAACACTGAAGAACACAACGCAAGG